TCTCCCAACATACACACAAGTAAATCCATGTGATGACAAAGAGAGAAGGCAGCCATCTACAAGCCATAAGAAGAGGCCTCACCAAAAACCAACCCTGCCAGCATCTTGACCCTGGCACTCCAGCCCCCAAAACTGCAGCAAAATAAAATAAAAGGCCTTGTTTATGCCTCCTGATCTGTGGTATTCTGCTATGGCAGCCTGATCACATAATCTAAGAAACATGTTAATGATTTGGACTCATGCCTTGGTAAGCATTAATCTGCCAGTGAGCCTGACACAGTCCCTCAAAACAGCCTGAACAAACTTTCATGCAGCATAGTTGGTATATGATTGATGCTTCTTGAATAAGTGAATAGTGTGGCATTTCTGGACTTCCCAGGGCACATGCAGGTGATAGCAGACTCCAGGCTGAGTCTGAGGACCTGTAGAGTCTACAGTCTGAACACGGACAGGACGCTGGGAAATACCAGGGAAACCAGGGACCTGGGAGCTGTGCTTAAGTTTTCATTTCTGGCTGACTCAAATTTTTTATCAGGAAGTGTGCCTTGACAGACTTGCTATCACCAAATAAAACACAAATGAAACATTCCTCCCAGTGGTTTCTGAATCACTTAGCCCACAACGGTGATAGATTCTCTAATCTCACATTACTGCAAAACACATGTAGTCATTTTCTATCTCTGAGCACTCATCCATAAGGCCACTAGTGTACCAAAGAAGGCAGAAGAGAGCATTTGGCAATGCAAAGGAAAGCAAAACAACACAATTCAGAATGAGATGTGCTGTTTGTCTTCTTTGGTCATTTTCCTTATGCCTGATCTCAAACTCCTTATGCCCTAACCGTCATCTAACAGGACTCTGAAGAGAGAAGGTGAGCATGACTAGACCTTAGAAAAGTGAGATTCATTCTTGCATGTGCACTTTTTTGAATCCTAAAATGTTCACTCTGTCTCAGACATGTGAGTAAATAACAATTCATTCAAAAAACAAAGACTTCATTTTGAAATAATACTTTAAATTGTAACTTTTATTCATATCATGTTCTGTTGTCCATATCCATTCCTAGTGTATCACAAGTCACATCAAAACTTACTGTCTTAAAGCAAGAATGAATAATTTGCTCACAGAACTGTAGCAGTATAGTCACAGCTCAGCTGAGAAATCTCACTGGTGTTCCCTGTAGCCTCAGTTTGACTCCATCGGTTTAGAGTTTGGCTAGGGACAAGCTTGTCCCAAGTAGCCTCAAAGTCCAGGACCGGAATAACACTGTCAGCTTGGGCACCAGATCCCTTTCTAGTCTTCAGCGTGGCCTTTTAACCCACCATTGATGATAAATTCTCTCTTCTCACTCTACTTTATTATGTTAATACATAATAATCCCAAGCTAACTAGGACATCTTTGTATAGCATCTGGGTCCATCCAAGAAGGCAAACAGGAAGCAGTAAGGTCACTCAGAGTCTAGATTCAAGCTCATCTGCTGCATTCTATTGTTCAAAACTACCATCAAATCAGCCCAAACCCAAGGCCTGGGAAACTGAACTCCACCTCTTGATGGTAGAAGCAGTAGCCTAGGGGGACAGCAAGATGCCTCAGTAAAGACACTCACTGCCAAGCCTGAGGATCCACATGGTAGATGGAGAGAACCAACTCCCAAAAGTTGTCCTCTGATGACCAAACATGTGCCATGGTATGTGTGCACACAAAATAAATAATGCAAAAAAAAATTTTTTTTAATTAGAAAAGTTAAGGGCAAGCAGAAGGTGGGAGCTTGGGGAGTTGTCCCACACAGAACTCAGTAGTTACTCAGGTAAACCAAAGGCCTAGGCCCAAGAATGCTTAGATTGGTGATAGCTGGTTGAATGCATTTATGTCTGGTCACATAGATTCCACACAGTTCAATACGTGGTAGTTTTCATTGAACCCTAATGACCCGAATACTGAAAAATAGGCAAAGGACAAACAAAGTTAAGAATATGGCACCCTATTTTTATTGCTTAAATAGCATGGTAATACGAACTCACTGGTATTATTTTTATTTTGCTTAATTGACACAGTTATTGCATAACTGCAACCCAACATTCTATTGCCCTGGGAGTTAATTCATTTCAATGAGATTTATAGAGCTCATTTGTGGAAATTTTTGTGAAAAGTTGTATGGTTTGTCATGAAAGTATAGCAAACAGGCAAACCTAGAATCACCATGGAAACAAATCTCTGGGAATGTTTGTGAAAGATTATCTGGATTAGGTTGATTGAGGTTGAAAGACACATTCTAAAAATGGTAAGTACCATTCCGTGGGTGTTACTTCCCCACAATGATGGACTGTATCCTCAAACTGTGAGCCAAATAAGCCCTTCCTTTCTTAAGTTGCTTTGTCAGGTATT